ACCCAGTTAGGATAAAAAAACACTAGCCACTAGAAATAGTGGAGAACTCCCTCTCCTTGATATTGCCTTTACAAGTAACCTACAACTACCATCTCTCACAGGGAGAAACTAGATGCTTTCTCTTAAGATCAAGAACAAGACAAGCATGGCCCCTCTCCACACTTGCTATATTCAACCTCATATCAGAATTACTAGCTAATGCAGTTAGACAAGAAAAAGTTGCAAGTAAGGTGAGGTAGTTAGTTTATTGTGCCAGCCTGGCCGATAAACACATGTGGGATTAATTGAAGGGTGGAGAGATAAATGGCTCGGCAAGCCTCACCTTTCTTGTCTCTCCCTCTTTGATCATTGGACCAGTGTGCAGCTGCCTTGCTTGTTCTGTGCCTCAGTTTGCAAGCTACACTACCTGTGGGACACCTAACCTGTGGACTATGTCGCTGTAAGTTGAGGTTACTTTAAGACCTGCTTCGCCACGCAATTGGAATTTACATCTCTTGAGCTGGGGACTGACTGTTGGTGACCTGCCTTGCTGTTGGCTGCCTGTGCAGGGATAGCCTGAATCTCTCTACAGAGGACTACCTGGGGGCCCTCAAGACTTGAAGGACTGCCAGTGTCTCACATCTCTCTAACTCATTTGAATTGTACTGAGCCATTTGTACTGCTTTATAATTTAACTGTTTATTTCTTGTGTTATATATCTATCTATCTGTATAACTGCTTTATAATTTAACTGTTTATTTCTTGTGTTATCTATCTAAATCCATATTTATAAAATTATTAGCAATCTGGTTTTATCTCTCTAGAGAACCCTGTCTAACACAGAAGGGGGACTGATATCAAAGAGTTCAAGAACTAAGGAAATATTTTGAAAATGATGGTGGCAGCAACTGTACAATTATGTCTGATCTAATTGAATTATGGATTGTTATAATATCTGTAAGACCTCGGAAAAGACAAAGTTACAAGAGACTGAAAGACTGGGAAGTAAAGGAAACCGTCGTCACGCTGATGCCCTGTAAGAAGTAAATGAATAAAGAATCTGTCCCGGCTACACAAAGTATTATGTAGGGACCAAAGAGAGAGGAATCGCCATGCCAGGAACACACCTGGAGGAGCCGTAAGGCAGAACCAGCTTGAAAAAGTTACACACCGATTCCAACTATATGCCGTTTTGAAAAGACAAATTAGAGAGAGAGTGAAAAGAGCAGTGTTTGTCAGGGGAAAGCTCAGGGGAGAGGGGGATGAACAGCCAGAGCCCAGGGTCTCCGAGAGGCAGTGAAAGTATTCTGTATGACACTGTCATGGTGGACATGTGGCCCGATGCATTTGTCACCATCCACAGAACCGGGCCACAGCCCGGGTGACCCCTGAGGCAAAATAGAGCGTTTAGTCTTCAGTTGTGACATGTGTACCATACGCATGCTTTCTGTTCTAACATTTATAATATAAGAGGAAGTCCCCCCAGCCAAAACATGGAATTACCCCACTGCCCCCATGCTATGTATTTAACTGTTTTTTACAAGACAACCTTATCACCTCCAAAGTACTCTCCATTACACTAAACGTATTTGTCAAATCTGCGATTCCATTCTTAGAAACATTTTTCAAACTCATCTATTGGATAGCTGTCAGCACCTCCCTCGTCTTTTTTTTTCACCTCTTCTATGTCAAATTGCTGTCCTTTCATGTCCCTCTTCATTAGTAGAAACAAAAAGAAGTTGCACAGAGCGAGATCAAATGAGTAAGGTGTGTGGGGCAAGAGAGGCATGCTGTTTTTTGCCCAAAACTGGCACACTGAGATGGCTGTGTGAGCAGGTGCACTGTCGTGGTAGCAAATCCGGTCACCTGTCCACCACAAATCAGGCCTCTTTTGTCACACACCATTATGCAATCTTTTCAGAACCTCTAAATAGGACGTTTGATTAACAGTCTAGCCTGGTACAACAAACTCCAAATGCCCTAAGTTGACATTTTCATCTGTTATGGGAAGCTGACAGACGTCTAGAATGAGGTTTGTCATCAATTGACATTTCACTTTTTTTGAAATGCGAAAATCACTCATGCACTTGAGTTTTTTCCCATAGCGCTGTCTTTTTAAGTTGTATTCAATCTTACAACAGTTTCTGCGGCATTTTTCCCAAGCAGGAAACACAATTTTATTGCTGCACTCTGTTCTCTCAAATTGGCCATCACAAAAAACAAGGTTTGAGCGAAATTGCTTTTACAAAAAATTCACTGCGACCAGAGTGAACCTCCCCAGGCAACACCACTGGGTGCACTAACTCAGAGTGAGATGCTTGCCTAGCAGGAAAAATGTGTACTATGAAAGCTCTACCCAGCGGAGGGTGTACCCCTTGTATTAGGGTGTACCTCTATTTTAAGAAATGGTACAAGGGCAGAGAAGGAAACAAAGAGTAAGGCTCTAACTTTCTGTGCAATTTTTCTGCAAACTTTAAACTATTCTAAAAGAGACTAATAAAAAACACCTTGAGTAATCTAGCAGCATGCAAAATATTGCTTCCCTAGCCCCTTCCTAAGAAGTCCTGGTGACACTATTGGGTGAGCAGTGGACAGCTAACCACGGAGTCTGTGGTTCAAACCCACTAGCCATTCCACGGGAGAAAGATGAGGGTATGTGCTCTTGTCAAGATTTACTGCCTCAAACTCTTATGGAGGGCTGCGACTTGTCAAAATCAACTCCGTGGTCATGAGTCTGGTTGGATTCCCTTACTAATCTATTCCCTATAGTAATTTCTGGTAACAGTTTGATATATTTTCTCCAAGACCTCTTTTTGCGTGTGTCTATTTGATGTGTCTATATATAAATATAATACAATTATTTAGAAAAAGGTGGTATAGTGGGTTTCGAGTTGAGCTCTTCCAAACCACAAACAGATCCAAGGCAGAAAGATGGGGCTTTCCTTCCATGGAGCGTTACGGTCTACCCTGTCCTATAGGGCCACTCTGAGATGGAATTAACTTGATGGCACTGAGTTTGGCTTTTCATTTATATAAATGAGATATTCAAAAAGCATACGAATAAACTTATATACAGAGATATAAAACCATCACAATATAAACCAATTATATGTAATTATGTAATGAACACACATGTGAATGTATGTATTTAATTTTTATATTAGCTGACTGAACACTACGCTCATGAACAATGTTCTGAAACCTGCTTCTTTCACTTGGCAACATATGATGATCATCTTTTTAGAAGAATCCATGTGCTTCCGGCACCTTTTGTGTAGGTGCAGAAAATGGCATTCTATTGACATGTCTGGCTATTTAACTATTCCTTTACTGATGAACACCAGCAGTGATCCCAGTGTTTTAATTTCATAAGAAAGCAGCTTTGAACATTCTTGAGTAGGATGGATTCCTGCACAGAGTGGTTGGGTGACGGGGTGGTACTATTGTGCGTCACCAGGTTGACTACCACTCAGAGGGTCCCTGTAAGTCAGAGTGGTGCTGCCTCGGAAGGGTTCCCTAGGCTCTGGGTCTTTACAAGATGTGACCATCAGATCTTTTTCCTGTGGAGTGGCCCAGTGGGTTTGAACTCTTGACCTTTCTGTGAGCACCCAGTGCGTAATCACTGTCCCACCAGGACTCCTTGGGTCAAAGGGTAGGTATATTTAAAATGCTGCCAAATGGCCACACCGATTTGTTTTCCCAGTCACAAAGCACAGCTATTCATTCTGACTCTCTTTTCTCATTAAATCTTTTTATATTCCCAAACTCAGGAAAAGATCTCGGGAAACAAGCCCTTCAATTTGTATATGAAAAACAGAGTTTCGAGGTTAATGTAAGGCCATGGGCCAAACACTACACAGTCCCTGAGGAGAAGTGTCCCTCTGCACTAGCAAGGGGCTCAGGGAAGTGTGGTCACTGTCCACCGGCAGGATGGTGACACAAGACTTCAAAGACAATGCGTTTCAGGAGAGCCACGGACAACAAGGAAAGAGGACCAACTGCCAATTGTCTTTTCCTTTTCCTGGCCTGCCGTCAGCAAGAAAGGAAAGAAACAAAAAGCCCTGGAAATGCCTAAAAGCTACAAATGCAAGAGGGAAAAGAGCAGTGGAGCCTCAAACTAGGTGGGCAAAGGCCACCGAGCTTCAAGGGACAAAGGCGTCACAAGTTCAGCTGCATGAAGTGAGCAAGTGCGGTGTTGCAGACTGACACGGGATGACCTTAGCCCCAGTGGCTGTATGAAAAGTACTTGGTTCTAAGTATCTCCATGTGGCATTCAAAATGAATGCCAGTACTGAAACCAAATTCTAAAGAGAAATATCAGAAAAGAACTAACATCCCACAACGAAGAAACATCTTCAAAGAAGATGTTGTTATAAAAATACCACAAAAGAACTTTCCAACAAATTCCAGACCTAAAAGTAAAGCTTTAAAACGAGGCTCCAAGCACTGAAGTCTTGACTCCTTTGCTGTGCCTGCAAAGGCCCATTCACAGGAAGGCCCTTCTCACCAGATAACACCGTCCTTACTCTGCCATACCTAGGGGAGTGATAACGGGGGAAAGGTGACGGTGGCATCTTTTGGAATCAGAATGCTCTAGCACAGAAGTCAACCAGCGTTTTCTATCACGGGTCACACAGTCTCTGTTGCAAGCACTCAAGTCGGCCTGTGCGGGGCAGACGCAGCCACAGACAGGCAAACACAGAGCGTGACTGTGCCCAGTGGAGCTCCTTTCATGTCATTGACACAAAAGATCATTCTAGCTTTGATTTTTTTCAACCATTAAAACATTTTTAAACTATTCTTAGCACACTTCGGACTGTCCAAACACAGGCAGAGGGACTAAGAAACACCTTGTGGGTTTGCTGATTGCCCATCCCCGGTACAGAAGAGAAGCACTTAGCTCTTAATGGAAGTAAACCTGACTGTTGGTTGGAAGCACGGGAACCTATGAGCCCACCTCCCAGGGAGGTGCAGTTAGAAGGAAAACAATATGTGCTTCTTACAGGTTTTCAGGTGTTTACCTTAAATCTCTTCTTTTGCTGAATTCCTCTTGTGGAATTGTCCATGGAAAGTTCTGAGGGAGACATTCTAGAACTTCTGAAGAGAAATCGGAGAAATCCACGCCATACTCAGTTAGTATTCCTTCCGTTTCAGGCTCAATTTCACCCGCCTGTCCAAGGCTCTTAGCCAGCTGCCTGCGGACGGGAGAGAAAGAGAACAACTGGGTTAGTGACAAGACCTCCTTTATAAAGCCAGGGTATAAGAGAAGTCTTCCAAACTTCCTCCCTGTTTACCTATGATCGCCAGTGATCAGGGATCCAACCAGAAGAAACAAGGGCACCCTTGCTACGCCCAAGACTTTTTTCAGGCACTTTGACAGGGGGAATGGGGCTCGAAGGTCGCTATCAATTCTTCCTCTTGAAAACATCCTGAGAGACAATTCTGATCCACTCAATTTGTTGTTCAATTATTACTGTTGGCCATGCTCATTAGATTCGGTCTGGTGTTTATATTTATTTTACAATTCTGCTAGGTTTGACCTTAATATTCTAAAATATTTCATCTGAACAGAAAAATACAACATATTCACTGTAGAGAAGTTAGAAGTGTATAGGCAAGAAGATTAAAATGATCGATTATTCAGTCATCCAGCAAACTACCATTCATGTCTAGGGTACCGGACCCATTCACAGTAAGGTTCCATTGAGCAGGATGGGCCTGGCACTGTGAGAAGGGCTGAACCATTTCTTGGGCAGATCTCACTCTTATTCTGTCGGCCATCTACTTGTAAATTACAAATGGCAGCTCTCCATTCTCATAAGAATGACACTAATTCTGGATCTGGGGTGGCTGCCTTCATTCACTCTATTCACTGTGTTTATAGAAACATCCCAGTCCGCAAAGCTAATGAATAACTTTTACACAATTATGTTATCTCACTCAACATCAGGGATTTCACCTTTCAGAAGAAGTAAGGCCCCCAAAATTCACTTATTATAATGGCATGATGGTCCACAGAAGATGGAATTACAGGACCAGTTGGGGGGTTCACAGTAAGGATCAGCATACATCCAAACCAGTTCTCACACTCCCACTTCTCCATCCTCATCACCGTTTGCTTCCTGAATACTTTTCTGCCCGTAGCCAGCTGGAGTGAAGTCAGAGCTCACACCATTCTTCACCCTGCCATACAGACACCAGCTGCAAGCTTGGAGAGTCCACACGGCACATCATTCTTCTGAGTTGCTGGCCACAGCTTCAAGACTAGTTCCCATGACCCCTTCAGGATGCCAGGTACAACAGTGGATGTCCGCATGACACCCTTACTTTATAACCTGCTGGCTTACACTACCTCTTTGGGTTCAATAATTCTTGAGAACGACTCAAAAAATTTGTGGAGAGTACATCATACTGACAACTAGATTTGTTAGGACCCAAAAGGCTGCACATGTAGATGTGTGTGCAGTGAAGACTGGGATGTTCCCAACATGAAGCTTCCATGTTCAAAGGGACAAGTTATCCTCCTAAGAGCCAATATTCTCATCAAGCAGGAAGTTCTCTAAACCTCTGCATTCAGGTTTTCCTAACCTGAATCTTGCGAATCTTGCACGATAAACGAAATCATGCCCCTGGAGTCCAGTTGGTATCGGCCTTCAGAAGAGTCTTTTCTGGTCTGGCCAGCTTGCACTTGCTAACAGAAATTCTCGAGTGTGGTCTGGAAGCCCTAGAACAAGCCCCCCCCCCCGCCCCCCCGAGTAACTCCAATGGTCATGTCTCAGGATCAAAGGCAATTCTAAGCAACTCATAGCAATTCTAAGAACAACAGAATAAAACACAGTTGCTGTTATATTTGCAGTCATTGTTGTAAATGCAATGCTGAAAGCATTCATGCATTTATGACAAGGAATTGACAGAGAGATATCTATATTTGTTCCTCTTCTAAAGAAAGATGATCCAGTAGAATGTGGAAATTATTAAGCAGTATCATGAATATTATGCACAAGGAAATTTTTGCTGAAGGCAATCTTTTAAAAAGTTGCAGAAATACATCAAAAAGGAAATGCCATAAATTCAAGTGAGGTTCAGAAGAGGACACAAAATGACAGTTGTCTTTGCTGATGTCAGATGGACATTGGCTGAAAGCAGAGAATACAAGAAAGATGCTTACCCGTGTTTCATTGACTATGCAAAAGTATTTGACACGTGGATCCTAACAAACTATGGATAGCCTTGAGAAGAATGGGAATTCCAGCATGAGACATGCCAAGGGTGTTCTTCCATTTATATTCTAACTCTAGGTCTTTGTATATTATTTCATTGTAATACCTGTCTTCCCCAAAGTGGTAAAATGTAGGAAAACATGGGTTTGAAAAATGGTAGACCAAAATTCAAAGCCCTCCTGCTCTTGCCAGCCCCCCTACCCCCCCAAACAAAGACCAGAATTACTGGTTGGAAAGAGACTGGAGGAAGCTTTGGGATTATTGTCCAGAGAAAGGGTAACTTGAAACTGAAAACACTCCCAGAAGCCACTTTTCAGCCACATAATATAAAACCACCACTGAGACAGACAGTCTAGCAAAGTTGCTGGGTTTCAAAGAGCTCTCATAACCTAGAAATGCACCCACTGCTATTGGGTAGACTATGATTCTTAGCAACCCTGTTGGAAAGAGCAGAACTCTTCCCTAGGGTTTCCAAGTCCATAAATCTTTAAGGGAACACATACTTGCATAGCAGCTGGTGGGTTTTGACTGCTGACCCTGTGGTTGGCAGCTCAAAGCTAAACATACTGAGCCACACGGGTCCCTTTGCCTATAACCAGTGGGAGAAGGGGGGGTAGGATCAACATATTCTAAGAGTTCTCTACAATATTCAATGCTAGAATTTTATACCTAACTAAACTGTCATTCAAGTAAAAAGGAAAGAGAAAAATATTGTCAAAATAGGAGAACTTGGGGAATATATAAATCTGTTAGGAAAGGCTACAGGATAATGAACCCTAGTCTACCAAGAGATGGGAAAAGATGGTGTGGAATACTAAAACTATTGTTGTGAAGGTAAGAAGGTGAAAAATGAGATGAAAGTACCCATAAGTAAGGTGATGAATCTAATATTAGTTGTGAGAATAAACTATCACTTGTTGAACCTTTAGAAATTAAGAATAAATAAATTGGTCTGCTTTTTTTCCCTCCCTTCTCTATTGGTGCTTAGTGTTTTGGCAAAAATTTTCACCAGACTATATTGTGAGTTCAAAGAATCTTGGTTTGTTTATAGAAACTACAACATGGCTTATAAAGACAAAGTTATGTTTTAGTTATGGCTTCCAAATGTGGTCAACGACTCCAACTTCCTATTAGTAATAATTAATATTTATTTTACTAAGTTTCTGAGAACTTCACTCAAATACCTTAAATAAATTAATAATATATTTTCAATGGAGAGAGATTTGCTAGAAATAAAGACTAGACAACGTGCAGGATATAAAAATCTAACAGGTCAGCATGCTGGAAGAGTTCATGCTTTCGTGGCCTTAGATGTCCCAGAGAGGATCCTCTGCTATTTATTCATAAACTCAGGATCACCATTAAACACACACACACACACACACACACACACACACACACACACACACCTTGGGATCTATACAAAAGCAAAACCCAAAGGTAAATTGCATACTGAATATTTGTCTTGAGTAAGGGCTTACACTATTGTTTTGATTTGAATTGCAATATCAATTTTACTTGAAATGAATCCTGAAAGGAACTTTCTCTTTCATGTGTTATAGTTCAAATGTTATAAACTCCTAAATTATTTCTGTTTTCTATTAATAGTCTAAAAAGATGACAACAGCACCTTTAAGAAAACCATGCTTCAATGTCTCATCAAAATGTCTATGATCCTCTAACACTGACGGAAATCACAAAAGGTTAAGTATGACATGGACCACTATTATGTAAGTGTGTTGTTTGGTGCCATCGAGTTGCTTCTGACCCATAGAGATCCTGTGCAAGCACAACAGAATGAAGCAAACACTGCCCGGTCCTGTGCCACTCTCACAATTGTTCCTGTGCTTGAGTTCCTGTGCTTGTTGCAACCACCATGCCAATCCATCTTTTTGCTGCCCCTCTACTTTATCCAGTATGATGTTCTTCAGGGGCTGGTCTCTCCTGACATTTTATTTATACACACACATATGTATGTATGTATGTATGTGTGTGTAAATGTGTGTATACATATATGAAAATATATAAAGAAATCGTTTTCACATAAGAGAACAGACTTTGATGGTTACCAGAGGTGAGAGGGGGAAGGCTAGTGGGTAGACAGGTGCTAACATAGGTGAAGGGGAAGGCAATATCCAACAAGAGAGAGATGGGCAAATTATGGAAAACAGGGTAAGACATTGGGAGGTTTGATAAATTGTTTAATATGGAAACGATGATCTGCTCTGTTAATGTCACCTAATTCACAATAGAAAGTAAAAAAAAAAAAAGAAGTGTGATTCTATTAACAGTCACCCTTCCCTTCAGCTTACACCAAAAACAATGCAAAATAAAACCGAAAACCAACCAAAGGCCCTGGGGTCCATTCCGACTCACAGCAGTTCTGTAAGACAGAGCAGAACTGCCCCAAAGAGCTTCCAAGGCTGTGATCTCCACAGCAACACGCCGGCTCATCTTTCTCCCTGGCCGCCACTGACGGAGTCAAACCCTGACCTTTCTGTTAGCCACCTCATGCTTGCCCACTGGTCAGCGTTCTACACTAGAGGATGTCTTCCAAAAAGTATTTAGAAACTATCGTAGTCAAGAAACATGATTAAATGGAATGTGGGATCCTGGATGGGATACTGGACTTGAAAAGGATTATTAGGTTAAAAAAATCTGAGAAAATCTGGAAGAAAAAAGAGTATGGACTTCAGTTAATAATCTTGTACCAATATTCTCCACCAATCGTAACAGGTGTTCCACCCTCATGTAAGATGCTATCGAACAAGTCTACTGTACAGAACCTCTTTTAAGCACTGAAGGTGTCACTCTGAGCACACCACATGTGAGCCTGACCCAAGCCATGGCATTTTCAATGGCCTCACATGCACGTGAAGATTGCACAGTGAGGAAGAGGCTACAGAAGAAGTGATGCTGGCACAGGATATTGAACATATCCTGGACTGCTAGAAGAACAAACATCTGCCTCGGCA